GTATTGAATTTTTGTTGTTAAGAAATTAATAAACTCAAAATAAAATAAAAAAGCCAAGTTTTCTTGGTTTGTCTCAAATGATAAATTTTATAGTTTTCCTGATATATATTGATGTGCAATTCTGAAATATGGGTACGTACTCAATGTAAACACTTTTATGAGCACATTTTACCATCAAAAGAACACCAAAAGCTTAAAGACAGATCAAAATTAAACATTAGAGACACTCAAAAAATCATTTAATAAAAGATAAAGAAATGTAAAATACAGCAAAATAACTCTGCTTTAAATAAATGCAGCAAATGTTTACAAACTTCTGGTAAATAAATAAATTTAGGTGTTTGCATTTACAAAAACAGTAAATACTCAAATCCCACAGAGCTGAGGAGGGAAAACTGCTGTCGGGTGAAAAGCTCACATTACAAACAGAATTTGATCTATTATAAACACAGATTGTTGATAATTTCACTCCTTATACCTTTTCCTCCTCTGCACAGTTCTGTAAATATTATGGGAAAGAATTTATTTTCCATTAGTGTGTAAGTGCTGCTCTTTTTTCATGCTGGCTTTCTTCACATAAACGTCCAAGAGTTTGTTTAAACAGAGTTTGAACATGAAGCGTTCTCTGAGTCATGTTCTACATTTGTTCACGGGAGATTTTATTTATTTTTACTGGGGTCATTGTGGTGTCATTTATATAAAAAAAGATATGTGTGACAGGATCTGTTTGGCCTAAACATTTCACGAGTTTATGGGAATTTGTTCTACTTCACAAAACACATATTTTGCATTTACCTCCAGTGACGAGTCATGGAATCAGTGCTTTCAGAAAAAAAAGAAGATTTCCATCTTCTCCATCTTCTTCATCCAAAGTCAGGTCGCGGAGGAAGCAGGTCCAGGACAGAATCCCAGTCATCCCTCTCCCCAGAGACACTTTCCATCCACACTTCTAAAGTGAGGCGTTCAGAGGCATCCTGTTCAGATGAAACACATCTCCTGACTCCTTTCGATGCAGAGGAGTAGCGGCTCTTCCCCGAAGGATGACGCAGCTCCTCACCTTATCTTTACATTGGTGTACAGCTGGTGGTGGTGTGTGTGTGTGTGTGTGTGGGGGGGTGGTCTCAGGAGATCTGCGCCGTGTGTCTCATGGGTTATGAAAGGTGTGTGAGAAAACAAACCTACCGCCACCTCGTGAGCGCGCGTTTAGTCGGCTGCTGACCGAACATGCAGGGCCCAGTGAACCCAGTGTTTTTGGTCTGTGGGAGGAAAGTGGAGTACCTGGAGAACCCCCAGGTGTGCACGGAGACAACATGCAAACTCCACCCAGACAGGCCCCAGACCTGCAGGTGACCTTGTGACCTTCTAACCACTGCTCCGCCGTGCAGCCCTGGTTTTCCGCTTTTGAACACAGCCCTGACCAAAACATGATCAGAAGCAGCTGGAGACCTTCCTGCATGCAGACTCTCCAGTTTCTTTTTTCTTCTGTTGGACGTCCCCCACCTGAATAAATACAGTGTCTCTCAGCATAAACACGCACAAACTGGAGGTAAAGAAGTGTCCGAGGCCGAGCAGGGGCACGTCAGGGTGAAACTGCCTGAAAGCAGATGGAGCAACACATGTAACAACAAATATGATTTAGCTGAGTTAGAAGGGTTGCTCCTCTTGATCCTTTGCTGTATTATTATGTGGTTCCTTGTGTGTGTGTGTGTGTGTGTGTGTGTGTGTGTGTGTGTGTGTGTGTGTGTGTGTGTGTGTGTGTGTGTGTGTGTGTGTGTGTGTGTGTGT